GTTATATCAAGAAAACTACTATAAAACAGAGAAAGAAACCAAACTTGACCTACGGTTGCTATGGGTGAAGGAGGAAGAGTTTGGGGGGATATGAAGAAACTGGGACGTTAAAAATTGGCACAGGGAACATTTTCAGCAGCAAGATGACAGACATTAGAACTCCGAGGCAACTAAGATGGAAACCATGAATCCGCATTCGTTACACCCTAGGCCCCACCACTTGTCTGTCAACGTGTCACATGTAGTGGGTTGCGTGTTGCTGTGATGCTGAGAGCAGTGATGTTTCAAATGCTGACAGGGTCATCCAAAGTGAACAGGTGTCAGCAGCGCGTCCAGACTAAAAACAGAACAACGAAGACGAACTCAGCTCCCCACTTTGGAGAAGGTAGCTGCTAAAAGCCTTATGCTCCCAGACACTGTCAGATTGTACAGGCCTAATGAAGGGAAGCAGAACATTGTCAGGTGATGCTGGAGGCTGGGCCCCTCAGATCCAAGGACACTTGAAACGTGACTCAGGAGGAGCCAATTTCTCGGAGTGGAGTGGCCCACGGTGACGTGCATTGGGAAACGCCTCGGGGAATGGAGCCTTTGGGATCTTCGCTTGCTGATGGAACTCAACTCAAGGTAGGGATAAACAGCTGCAAAACTTGGAACTTAGAATGTGTGAAGAATGAATCCAGAAGGAAGGTGGTCAAAAATTAAATGGAATGCATAAAGATGATGTCCTAGGCATTAGTAAGCTGGAAGGGACTGGTATTAGCCATTTTGAATCAGAAAATCACATGGTTTACTTTGCTGGGAATAACACAAGAGAAATGGCGTGGCATTGTCAAAAAGGGCAATGCAAAATCCATCATGCAGTACAATGCTGGGTGCTACAGGATTATATCTAGCCACCTTCAAGGAAATCTAATCAGTACAGTTGTTATTTAAAATGCAGGCACCAACCACAAAAGCCAGTAATGAAGAAATTGAAGAATTCTACCAATGACGTATTGGAAATTGACCAAGCATGCAATCAAGATGCACTGACAATTACTGGTGATTGAAATGCAAAACTTGGAAACAAAAGAAAGAATAGTAGTTGGAAAATACGGACTTGGTGATAGAAATGAAATTGTAGCTTGAATGACAGAATTCGCAAAAACCAAAGACTTATCCACAGCAAATACCTTTTCTCAAGAACATAAAAGGCGATTCTACACATGGAATACACAGAAATCAAACTGACTACAGCTGTGGGAAGGAAAGGTCAGTATCAGCAGCTAAAACCAGACCATGGGTTAGAATGGAAGAAAATTAAAGTAAGTCCACGAGAGCCCAAATATGACCTGGACTCTATCTCACCTGAATTTCAATAACATCAAGAACAGATTTGACTCATTAAACACTAATGACAGAAGACCCGATGAGCTGTAGAACATCAAGAATATTATCCAGTAAAAAAGCAAAAGGTCATTAAAAAGACTGAAAAGAAAAGAGAAAGTGGCTATCAGAAGAGACTCTGAAACTTGCTCTTTATTGTAGAGTAGCTAAAGCAAATGACATCAGAGTCCTAAACAGAACATTCCATAGGGTTGCTCAAGAAGACAAACCAAATATAATAAAGTACGAAGATCTAGAGTTTGAAAACCAAAAAGGCAGACCACACTCAGCCTATCTTAAACAGAAAGAACTCAAGAATAATTTCAAGTCTCGAGTTGCGATATTAAAAGCTTCTATGGGTCAAATACTGAATCATACATCAAAAGAAGCTGGAGAGAACAGAGAGTCACTGGACCAAAAAGAACTCGCCAGCATTCAACATTTCAAGAGGTAGCATTACGGGCAAGAACCAATGGTGCTGAAGGAAGAAGTTGAAGCTGCATGGAAAGCATTAGCCAAAACAAGGCTCCAGGAATCGATAAGGAAGATCAACTGAAATGTTTACCAAGCAACAACTGAAGAAGCACTGGAAGCACTCACTCATGCCAAGAAATTTGGACGACAGCTACTTGATCAACAGATTGGAAGAAATCCATATTTGTGCCCATTTCAAAGAAAGGTGACTCAACAGAATGCTCAAATTATAGTACAATATCACTGATTTCACATGCAAGTAAAATGCTGCGGAAGATCATCCAACAATGGTAACGGCAGTACATTGAGAGGGAGCTGCGAGACGTTTAGCCCGGATTCAGAAGAGGACATGGAACAAGGGATATCACTGCTGATGTCAGATGGATTTTGGCTGAAAGCACAGAATAGCAGAAAGATGTTTTACTTATGTTTTATTGACTCTGCCAAGGCATTCAACTGTGTGGATCATAACAAACATAACCTTGAGGAAAAGGGGAATCCCCGAGCACGTCATTGTGCTCTTGTGGACTCTGTACATGGATCAAAAGACGGCTGTGTGGACAGGACAAGGGACTGCCGCATGGTTTCAAATCAGGAAAGGTGTGCATCAGGGTTATGTCCTCTCACCGCATCTATCTGTATGCTGAGCAAACCATCAGAGACGCTGGATGAGCTGAAGAAGAATGTGGTATGGGGATTGGAAAAAGATTTACTAACAACCTGCGATAGATATGCAGATGACACGAGCTCGCAAGGTGAAAGTGAGGAGGATCTGAAGCACTTGTTGACGCCGGTGAACGATTGCAGCCTCCAGTGCGGATTACCACTCAAAGTAAAGAAGATCCAAGAACAGGATGCCGTTGTCAAGGATTGTGTCTTGCTTGGATGCACAACCAATGCTCATGGAAGCAGCAGTCAAGAGATCAAAAGACGAGTTGCATTCAGTAAATCTGCTGCACAAGACGACTTTAGGGTACCGAAAAGCAAGGATTATACTTTGAGGACTTAAGGTGTGTCTGACCCAAGCCATGGTATTTTCAATGACCTCATGTGCATGTGAAAGTTGGACACTGAATAAGGAAGACCCAGGACGCATCAATGCATTTGAGCTATGGTGCTGGAGAAGAATACTGACAGTACCGTGGACTAGACAAAGGACAAACAAATTTGTCTTATAAGAAGTGTGGACAGAGTGCTTCTTAGAAGCAAGGATGACAAGACTACGTCCTACATGCTTTCATGCTTTGGGCAAGTTGTCAGGAGAGACTGGTCCCTGGTGAAGGACATCATGTGTGGTCAAGTGCAGGGCAGAGAAAGAGAGAAAGGGCTTCGATGAGATTGATTGACACCATGGCTGAAGCAATAGGCTCAATCAATTGTGAAGACCGGGCAATGTTTGGTTCTGCTGTGCAAAGGCTCACGATGGGTCAGAACTAACCCAATGGTGCCTAACAACAACATTAAACCCTCCACATGGCAGGCACTGCTTCGTTAGTGGCTACAGAAACCTAGAAGCCCAGGGGTGCCCGCAAAAATCTTACAAATGTGCAAAAGAACCAATCTAAAGAGCCCTTTCTCATTTCGCAAGAAGAAGATACTATCAATGCCACTGATGTGTGTGTGTGTGTGTGTGTAGGATGAAGAGATACATGTCATCGTTAAATAAATTACTAAGGACTATTAAAGTTTAGTATTCATCAGCTTAAAATTAGCATATACTTTACATAGCTTATTGTGGATTCCAGTCAGAAATTCTAAACATAGCTGTCATTCATAACAACACAGTGACACTACACCACGGGGCACACACACAGTTTGAATTCCTGAAATTTTAGGGTGGGCTACTTGGTCAATGCATCATCTTGAGCATTGCCTTAAGCTGATCATTGTTTTCATCTGCTCTTCCTGCTGGTACCTGGCAGCTTATCAAAACAATCAGTATAATTCACAGCTAAGCTGCTTGCTAATAACTGTACTTATGTCGGTCTTTGATTTGGACCAGGATCCATGCACTGAGGTGCAAATATCAATCATTCTATCACTTACACAAGTCTGTATACATTATTATATTGGGGTTCCCAACAGTGCCATCACTTTTTGCTTGTACAATAATCATACAGTACGATTGTTACTTAATTTTCTTCTTCATAGAAAATGTAAAAATATACAACAGATAGGCAGTAGAAATTCCCACTCTACTTAAGTTTACCAGTGTCCAAAACTTTTTGAAAACCATTACTCTAGGCAACAAATGTAGTGCAAGTGAGTAACTGATGTTTGTGGCTTAATCGTTACTCATTGGGCTGCTCATGGAAAACTCAGCAGTTTGGAACCATCTTTCTCCACTGGGGAAAGAGGAGGCATCCTACTCCCATGAAGAGTTACAGCCTCAAAAAAAAAAAAAAATAGTTACAGTCTCAGAAACCCACAAGGTAGTTGTCCCCTGTCCTGTAGGGTTATTATGACTCAGTGGCAATGAGTCGGAAGGGTTTTCTTTAGTTGTCATCATTTTACCT